CGAGGAGATGAGCATTAGGGTGAGTGGTTTGACACAAACTTACTTCTGCCTGTTCTCTGGATGAGCCAGCGGTTGACTACGAGGCCAGCCGTCGCAGTTTAGAACCTCTCTGTGTTTCTCCTGTGGCTCCGCAGACACCTGCCCTATAGCTGGCTTTTGTCGCTCATCCCCATCGGCTCCTTGCAGGGTCAGAGGAACAGAGGTCGAAGTCCTTGACCTAAGAGAATCGTCTTCTGTTGTCACAAAGTAACTGTTCTGTTGGAAAGGCTGTTTTATCTCTTGTTTTGACAGAAAAAAGTCACAAAATTCTGCATCTTAATATGCAAGGGTAGCTCAGTGTGGCCTCTACAGACAGATATCTGCGTTAAACACAGGGATGTGATAATACAAAACTGTGCAATGTATTTACCAGAAAGTGTTTCCAAATTATATAGGAAATTAAAAGCTGACAATCAATTAAAATTAAAATGAGACTTTATATTGTCACTCTTCTTTTCCCTGTGTTCTGATTTCAAGCAAAAAAGTACAGGTCACACCTGGCCTATCCGCTCTGGGCTCAAGCGTCTCTGTCTCTTTTCTCTGATGCTGTACTAAAGATATTCCTGAATATGGGTGTAAAGCCAGGTAGTTTGGATGTAGTATAAGCTAGGATCATACTCAGATACAACTCATGCCAATCCTAAATTACAGTTCAGAGATAGCTTAAGAATCCACATAACTTAAAAAATGGGAACACAGTTCCTACAATCTTTAGGTATTTGAAAATTATATTTCAGTTCTTTTTACTATAAAAACCCCCAAATTTTCACCATTTTAAAGATAATTAAAGAAGAGCAAATGGTGAAAAACCTATTACTTTTACTGTAACCATATAATATTATTCTTAAGATTGTTGCACAAAAAGGCCTTGACTCGGTGCCATGTGCTGGGTGATCCCCCTTCTGCTCTTTTCTCAGTCATCTCATATGAAACAACTAGTAGACAAATGTTCTGGAAGAAGGTAAGGCAAGTGAAATAACTTATATTATTTAAGAATTGAAACTGTCCACATTCCTGTTCTAATGCTGACTGGTTCTGTAGTGCTGAAGTGAAACTGTGTTTAAGTCAGAATTCAGTTTGTATATGGAATAATAATAAAAACTAGAAAAATTGCCACTGATGCAGCCATTAAACTTTAATGCTATAAAATAATTTTTGAAAAGTCAAGAAATTTCCATGTTAGGGTCACACAAAGTGTTTACAAACTGTAGCATATAATAAATGTACAGATTATTCAAGAGTTTTCACGATTCTGTTTCGAGATTTAAAATGCACAGAGTTGCGATTGCTATTGTATAAGTTTGGATAAGCCGAAGGGCTCAGGTGACAGAAAGAAGTTATGAAGCAAAGAAAGAGTGACATGCCAGACTTGTGACAAATGAAGTGGTTGTGGTTGCTCCGGTAGTAAGGCTTCAATCAAGAAAAAAGGCTGAAGACCAGGAATAAAACGGCAGAGGAAATTGAATCCAACACCACTGACAATGAAAAGCATGCTATTTGAATGCTGAGGGTGAGATCCTGGCCCCTAGTGAAGTTAATGGAAACCAGCTGCACAAGCCTGGGTTTTTATTCCGAGCTAAAGGAAATGTTAATATTCAATATTCCAGGTAAGTTTGTGCAGTGGGCATAGTCGAAAAGAAGATGCTGCCATGAAATTAGTGCCCTGAAATGTACGTATATTAGGGGTTATGTTATATATTATTTTCTTTTAAAATTATGCTTGGGAACAGTCTTAGATGAGGATCTGCCCATAGGCACTGACCAAACTAAGAAGAGGTGTCTTCTGATCCGAAGAACTGAAAATGCAGTTACGCCTCCCCAGAAACCTGCAGGCAACATTCAAAGACTTTATGGGACAGTGGTATTGATCTCAGCAAACCAGCAACCTTACCTAACTGACATCCTTTCTAGTAAGGAAGACTCTTACGGAAGAGTTTGAAGGAATATAATGCAGCAGCTTTGTTAGTATTTAAGGCTGGCTCCCTCCAAATATGGGAACAACCCCGGAGAAAGCGCAATTGTGTGTGTTTGGAATTTAATAACCTGGTGATGCAGAAGGCATCATCTGTCCCTGTATGACTAAAACTATATTTAAAACAATCGATAAGGTAAATAAGTTAAGGTACAGAGAAGGTCAATGAGAAACGTTGGCAATAAAATATTAGTTACATACAAAATTCAACTGATTTATCTAAATAGGTAAACATACTATTTAATAAGAATGATTTTTAATTTGGAAAAAAGAGGCAGCTGATGTGTCTATAAGTTCACTAATTTCTTGAAGGAGACAAGTAAGAAATTGCTATTCAAGTGTTTCTTGTAACATAAGAGCTTACAAAATTACTTCAAAATACATAAAAATCTCAAAAGGGAAATGCTTTTTTAAATGATCCACAAGTAAACTGCAGAACTACTGCCAGAAATTGACTTGGCTCCCAACATACGAGTGGGGTCCAAAAGTAGTTCGATAAATTCCTGGTAAAATGATCCACCCAAAGCAGTCTGAACACCATGATGCAGATGCAGACTCCCACTCAGAAAGTCCCCAAAACTGAGCTTAGTCAGAAGCTGGGAGGATGTATGGAGAGGAAGCATCGCTTGCCTACTTGCCCTGCTTCTTTTCCTAATTAGTAGTTGGCTAAAATCAAAGACATAATAATAGCAGCTAATTGTCTTTTGTAGCCATCTGTCATGTTTTGTTAAGTCTGATTCAACAGAGTAGTTTTGGGGTAAGTTGTGTCTTTCTCCCTGGAAGTCTGTAGGTACAGTATAGTGCAGTTAGGAAATGCAGAGCTGTAATGGGTCTTTGAGCAGTATCCAGTACAATAAACTGTAATAAAACATGAATGGTCCCATAAAATTAGATTGATCCAGTGCTTGACCACATGATGCCCTCACTGGAGAGCATGTTCCTGTTTGTAGGTACAAGGACTTCTGATGAAAGTTCTTAGTCCCCCAAA